GTGGAAATGTGCCATAAGATCTATTGTGAGTCTAGTTTGAAAAATTCAGCATCAATACACAACACCTCTTATGGCGCGTTTCCACTACAGCGCGGAGCACGGTTTAAGAGGGCTGTGACGTCAGCGGCCCGTTTTTGGTTGCGTTTCCACTTGGCCTAGTACCGGCCGGCGGGTCCTAATTCACAGTTTTTCTGGCCTCATAAAATCGTGGGTCTAGGGCCAGAGACAACGAGGCTGAGTCGGGCTGAGTATGCTAAACTAGAGAGAGAATCGCTGGCAAGGGGGCTACAACTACAACAAGATGGACATATTTGACCGTGATTTAATTGTAATACACGTTTCAAAATGATGCCGAAGTAACAACATACTGATACCGGTTAGTAAAAACCATGAATTAATGCTTTGACAAGTCTGCAGACAGACGGCAGGCGAAAAACCTTTTAAAATGCGTGTTTTCTAGATGGAGATTGGCTAAGCTAACGCAGTATATGCTCCGACCGTCCACACTCACAACAACGGCCTATACAGACATAAATAAAGCAGCGACTGTATTCGCCATGACACAGGCAGTCTGTGGTTTGTACTTGTTTAACTTTTGTCTAGTTTCTGAACAGATATGAGGAGCTGTGAGCTCTGAGTGCTAACAGCTAACGGCTGTGTTGTTTTTCTGGGGTTCTCATTGAAGATCACGTCACGGCTCCGCCTACACTGCGTTACTATAGATACTACCCCAGTTCCTAAACTGTAATGGAAATGTGCCATAAAGTGAGCCAGTCCTAACGAGGCCTAGCCATACCGAGCGAGGCCGTGTAGTGGAAATGCGCCATTAGTCTGCAAATATAAAATAGATCAAAATAGTTGCACAATTTAAGCTGAAAAAGGAACGCCTTGTTGAATCCAAACTAACCCTAAAGCAAGAGACCAAACTAAAACTAAAATAATTTGCCTACCATTTTCATCCCATTTACATATAGTTAATATGAAAAGTAATACATTTGAGATGGATCAAAGATTCATCCTGTGATCAATCCATATCACACTGGGTTAATACTGAAACCAATCACCTTTATCAGGAGAGAAAAATGAATAATAATCCCAAAGATGTATTTAAGAGCAGAACACTAGACGGAAATTGAAATGATCTTAAATCCACAATGCCTGATTCGTCTTAGATGTTTTAATCTCTTCATCCATTGCTTAAAAGGGAAGATGATAAATATGTCTGTCTCTCTGCTATCAGCCACGTGGCTTTACTGCACAGAATCATGACGTCATTTTAAGAGAGTTGAGCATGATGTCTGCAGGGATAAGAAAATAAGGTTACACCAAATGTTAAAATGGGTGCAGAATTGTAGGAAACATCACTAAATAACTGCAGAAATTATGATATCGATGAGTGGATAGGCAGGAACAAATATTTTTCGATTTAGAAAGTAAAATGTGAAGGTTTTCATGGAGGTTTTCACCACCTAATGATAACATTTCCTTTAAGACTGTGCTAAATTCTGAAGGGTATTCCTAATTCTTCTCATGTTGTATGACTCACACATCAATGGATTAATTGGGAAATGTATTTACATTAAAGTAAGAACTAATTTAATGAAATTGTGACTGCATTTTGTGTTCATATGTAACAATAATGACGTTGATTGGCATTAGTGTGTAACAGCTTTACAAGCTGTTACACACCAAGCCGATTATCGGCGTCGATAGATGTCGGCCGTCGATGAGCGTCGTGTCGCCCTACTCAGATTGGTGTGTACTGTAGGGCTGTGCGATTATGGCAAAAATCATAATCACGATTATTTTGGTCAATAATTGATATCACGATTATTAAATACGATTATTCATTGACTTTGAAAACATCCATTTATTGAACTTTAAAACAAATACAAATAATAATTTGAACAGTATATTTTTAACTGTTGATTACCCTGAACGTATAATTCAACTGAAAAACCAATACAAAAATAAATGATATAAAAATAATAAATACCAATAAACAAGATCAACAAATATTTTTGGAGCACACTTCAACAAGCTACTAAACATATATAAATATGATAAATAAAATAAATTAGATCAAATATGTCACAACCTAGCAAAGCAAAATAATAGTTTTTTTCGATTATGTTGTTTTCGTAATTGTGGCAGGCCAAAATCGTAATTGCGATTAAAATACGATTAATTGCACAGCCCTAGTGTCCCGCACCGTTGTGTCTTTTCGGCCGTGCCGACACCTTCTGCTGCCGATTCGACTTGTTGAATCGAGAGGCCGTCGGCCAAAGAAATCACTCTGATTGGCTGTTCAGCTAGCGAATCAGTACACGGAAGTGAGGGACCCAAACAAACTATTAAGAAGGCAAATCTGAGATTTCATTTAACTCCAGCTCTCGACACAGGTTCGGGAAAGCCCCATGAGCTTCTCGCTGTAGAGTGAAAATGGAACACACACGCTATTTGTTGTTTGTTTATATCACGCAGTCTGTTCTTCTTCTCTCGGTTATCACGCAGTCTGTCTTCCGGTTGTTGCCTCTTTTGAATGACGAATACACACTACCGCCGCCTGCTGGTAAGGAGAGTTATTGCCACTCACGCATGCGCAGTTCGTACGTGCTACTTGGCCGTCGGCTGAAGTCTTTGCGGTGTGTTCCAGTGCGACACATGGCCAAGATGCAGGAGACGCGAGGCGACGTTCCGTCGGGACGTGTTCTTTGGTGTCAGTTTGGTGTGTAAGAAGCTTTAGGTTCCTCACAATCACACCCACACAACACATGCATTAGCTTTTAACACACACCCTCTGCTTCAAGAAACACACACCCACTGCCTCATAAAACACACACCCTCTTCCTCAGAAAACACACTTCCCAGCCTCCCTCTTTCTCACTCACACACTAAAGAAACTCTGACTCTGAACACACCCTCTGACACCAACCATAAAGCCTGCGTCTCTCTCTCCAAACACGTTCTTATCACACCAATGTCAAGTGGCGAGGCATGAGATGTGACACACACACACACACCCAGCTCCACCCAAATCACTCCATCCTCCCCTCTGCCTTTCCCATTAGTAAAGACTGATACCCTTGGGTGGTTAAGAGCTTAACTTAAGCACAGCACAGGGACTGTTTATGGTCATGATGAAGTGTTTGTTAAAATACTACAAGGAAAACGTCAATACAACGTATGCTTCAAGTGGCTTTTTGTTTAACCCTGAAAAGGTCTGCAGAAAAACACATTATCTATTTATGAGAAGTTGTATTTCGACATGTTTATATTCCACATCTATCTATCTATAAGTTAGTAGGGGAAACAAAGTAATTGCAATTATTTTTGACTGATATATTCTCACCATTAATCAAGGAACTGTTTCTAAATTATCTGAACGCTTTGCAGAGCGAAGGGCGTGCCGTGTAAGCACTTCCACATTTTGCTGGACTTATGCAGGGTTGGGTGTGTTTTCTTAAAGGAGTTGCTCATGAAAAGCAGACATAGCATGATGCAAGTATGACAAACAACAAATAGTGAATCAATGTGGGCGCTGGAGCATAGCATAACTGAGTATTTTAATCAACATGGAAGTAATTTAGCACCACCGATTTTTGGAGAGGGGTTATATGAGGTGGATGAGTAGCAAAACATATCTTAGCCACCAAAACAAAATCTTGCTTTCTTTAGAATAGTTTCACTGCTTTACTCTTGCCATCAGACAGCCCTTTTCAACAGACGACTGAATCTGTTATCTCCATTATGCCTCTCTTCAAAGACACCAGACTCCATTGAAGAACGCTGTGATTTTATCTTGCAGAACAGCAACGATGTATGAGTTTGTTTATGTTACCGTGTGACTTTGGTGAATGTGAAACAACCATTTAAAACAAGATCACACAGGAACAGGAACCATTACGTATTCCTGCTCTCAGGGTGCTTCTACTTCTACTTACGTACAATATCTAAGTACTTGTTCCACCTCTGTTGTTTTGACTGGATCCAGATGGACAGCTGTGTGTGACTAACATCAGTTTTAATGTTAGCAAATGTTAGTAGAGTAACACCTCCACCCATGAAAGCTGGTATCTGTCCCAACACTGTCAGTAACTTTGTTTCATCATCTTTCTCTCAACTGGCGAGACTAACCAAAAGTAGAAGTTGTAGTTTACAGGATATATTTACTTTTAATTTCAAGATACGGTACACCATTTTTTAAATATACAGTACACTATGGTTATATGTTCAGTAGATTAATATATTATTATTCTACTTTATTTGGTATATTTTATGATGTTTAGATACTCCTCTCAATGTAGTTTTTATTTCACTGAGCATATGTATATATTGTTTTTTGAACTATGTACCTATCTTTCTCCCTCTCCATAAGTGTGAACAATTTGCACAACAACCACCTTGCACATCTGTCATTTAAATACTATGTCTCTGCTACTGTAGAATACATCTATATTTATGTTGCTGCAGTATTTCAGTCTTTTATAGTACATTTTGATTCATCCTGAATATTTGATATTGTTTATTATGTGTGATATGTATTTACTACTGTAGATATGTGTATATTTGCTGTTTATTCTTAATTGTACTTGTTACCACTCTTTACACATTGTAATGCCTTAACACACTGCTGCTGTAACAATAGCATTTTTACAATTTGGGATGAATAAAGTATCTATTTATCTATCATCTATCTTAACCTCAGCTCACAGTGCAGAAAGATGCAGTGATTTAACATTAGCATTCTGGCTAACTGTTAGTAGCACCTAGATGTCATCGTCTTCAGATGCCTCTCACCCTGGTGCTGTTAAACTAACCGATATAAAGCACTTCCAAGACAGGTTGATATCCCAGTTAGAGGCTGACATTATAGCACGCTAACCCGGGTTAAAAATGACCAACTAGCCGCGCTAACGTTCACATCACTGCAGCTAGCAAGCTAAAGCTAACCAGTGAGAAGCTAACGTCAGGGACATTCTTCCACACAACACACTTACCTCATAGTTCAGTTTCCATGGTGAAATACGGGATAAAGTAGCTCGTTTTCGCGTTTATGTGACCATATGATTCGGTATCTCCTCCCAAATTGTGTCGGTTTATCCACAAAAACCCTCTCCCGTATGGTTCCGAAATCCCGACCGACTGAGGGACAGCTGGAAAATGGGGTAACGCTTCTGACGTATCGCGATAGTTCGTAGTAAGTGCATAGTTTAGGTGTAACATCGCGAGAGTTGTCTGAATCTCAGGGACGCTGTGGAGTAAAAAAGGATTAGTAGCGCTCTCCTGCCGGCTGCTGTTTATTAGGAATAAATCCTGGTTTTAGGTTTAATCTCGTATGGCATAAAATGGAAAATACTCATGTAGAGTGCAAGCAGCTCAAAATTGTACTTAAGTAGTACTTGAGTGAATCTACTCAGTTGCTTCCACCTTTGTGTGTTTAATACAAGTGGGGGAAGTCGTGTGTCCAGTAGTTATCAAAATAAAGAAATATCTTCACATGTAAGTTTTGTATATCATCATGTTAAATACCTTTCTGTTTTTAACTGTTGACCTTTGAGGAGTTTGAAGTGATTTACATACAGTACATTTTGTGATGTTGTGTTGTTTGTTGTGTTACAGTGAGTGGTTACAACATCACACCATAACAGAAGGGTATAGATTTGTTGTCCCAGTACCGTCAGACGTCGATATTAACAGCAGGAATCAAAGCTTTTTAGATATTTCTCTAGCAGGTTTCTCTTAAAGAGAAGCCCCCACATGTTGTCAAAAGAAAATAACAAATCTGTGTGTAAGGAATACCTTCACTAGATCATTATAGCCTGATTTAAGCCTTGTACATGTAATATTAGTTTAGTAGCACTGATGCAAAATATCTGTACTGTAAGTCGTATTTAATTGTAGGTTATTTTTACAATTCTTTCAAAGGCTGTTAAATAGTCAACTTTAGCAAGCTTAAACAGATCACAAAAGAATACCATGAAAAATGCTTTAATTTAAAGGAAAATATCACAGATAGATTAGCATTTAAAAAAAAGTTGTACATGTTAACTGAACTTATTTTTTGGATATAAACCATTTTCAGACAAAAGAGAAACCCCCATATATTGTCAAAAATAAAACGACTCAATCTGCAGCATGGACTTTATTATTTTAGAATAACATGAAGTGCAGAAGTATTATCAGCTACATATAAAAGCTGAGGTGGGAGAAGTACTTATATTTTGTACTTGAGTAAAAGTAGAAGTACTCAGATCTTGTACTTGAGTAAAAGTAGAAGTACTCAGATCTTGTACTTGAGTAAAAGTAGAAGTACTCAGATCTTGTACTTGAGTAAAAGTAGAAGTACTCAGATCTTGTACTGGAGTAAAAGTAGAAGTACTCAGATCTTGTACTTGAGTAAAAGTAGAAGTACTCAGATCTTGTACTTGAGTAAAAGTAGAAGTACCAGAGTGTAGGAATACTCTGTTTCAGTAAAAGTCCTGCATTCAAAATGTTCCTCAAGTAAAAGTAGGAAAGTGTTATCATCAAAATGTACTTAAAGTACCAAAAGTAAAATAGTCATGCTGCAGATTGGTCCATTTCAGAATAATATATATGATATGTTTTATAATGATTGATCATGAAAGTGTTCTCAAAGCTGGTAAAGGTGCAGCTAGTTTGAATGACTTTGTATACTGCAGGGTAGCTTGTGAATTTACTCCAGGTGGAACTAAAGTCTGATTGAACACTTGATTATATTTCACATCATTCATCCAGATCTGTAAAGTAACTAAAGGTATTAAATAAATGTAGTGGAGGAAAAGTACATGATGTACCTCTGAATTGTAGTCGAGTAGTAGTACAAAGTAGCATAAAATGGAAATACTCAAGTTTCAGTGGGAGACATTGTGTGTCCAGTCGTACAACTTTATCAAAATAAAGAAATATTTGCACGTGTGAGTTTTGTATTCTACTAATTCCCTTTCTGTTTTTAACTGTTGACGTTTGAGGAGTTTGAAGAAATATAGGCCTACATACAGTACATTTTGTGATTTTGTGTTGTTTGTTGTATTACAATGAGTGGTTACAACATCACACCATAACAAGAAGGTGTATATTTGTTGTACCAGTACTGTCAGACGTCCAGTCTATCAGTAGGAATTTAAAGCTTTTTAGATATTTCTCTAGCAGGTTTCTCTTAAAGAGAAGCCCCCACATGTTGTCAAAAGAAAATAACAAATCTATGTGTAAGGAATACCTTCACTAGATCATTATAGCCTGATTTAAGCCTTGTACATGTAATATTAGTTTAGTAGCACTGATGCAAAATATCTGTACTGTAAGTCGTATTTAATTGTAGGTTATTTTTACAATTCTTTCAAAGGCTGTTAAATAGTCAACTTTAGCAAGCTTAAACAGATCACAAAAGAATACCATGAAAAATGCTTTAATTTAAAGGAAAATATCACAGATAGATTAGCATTTTAAAAAAAGTTGAACATGTTAACTGAACTTATTTTTTGGATATAAACCATTTTCAGACAAAAGAGAAACCCCCATATATTGTCAAAAATAAAACGACTCAATCTGCAGCATGGACTTTATTATTTTAGAATAACATGAAGTGCAGAAGTATTATCAGCTACATATAAAAGCTGAGATGGGAGAAGTACTCAGATCGTGTACTTGAGTAAAAGTAGAAGTACTCAGATCTTGTACTTGAGTAAAAGTAGAAGTACTCAGATCTTGTACTTGAGTAAAAGTAGAAGTACTCAGATCTTGTACTTGAGTAAAAGTAGAAGTACTCAGATCTTGTACTTGAGTAAAAGTAGAAGTACTCAGATCTTGTACTTGAGTAAAAGTAGAAGTACCAGAGTGTAGGAATACTCTGTTTCAGTAAAAGTCCTGCATTCAAAATGTTCCTTAAGTAAAAGTAGGAAAGTGTTATCATCAAAATGTACTTAAAGTACCAAAAGTAAAATAGTCATGCTGCAGATTGGTCCATTTCAGAATAATATATATGATATGTTTTACAATGATTGATCATGAAGTAAAAAGATATGATTCTACACTGTATTGAAGTAAACATGTATTATTTTGAATTGTATTTTAGTGAACATGTATTGTTTGAACTGTTTTATGTAATCACAACTCACTGATCCAGAGATTCTGTTTTCACAACACACACCAACTTGGCCTGTATCACCCCTAAAAGCCAGATGTTGGTTTTAAGTCGTTAAAGACATCGTTAAATAGGTGAAGGAAAGTTTAAATGTCTGAAAAGGGATACTTTATGGGGGAGGCCCCATGGGAAGGGAATGTGAGGTAGATAGGGTGGAGATAAACGTTGACTTTTGACCTGGTGTAACTTAGGATCTCACGTGCTGGTCAGACCTCTGATTGAACCCGGCCAGAAGCGAATCCAGCCAGTCAGGACACTTGGGGGAGGTGGTCAGCTTACACAGCTCCTCCTCACGGAACTCTGATTCGCTTGGGAGGAAAATGGGAAGGAAGAGTCGAGAAATCTCCGCCCCAAAAATAGATATGAATACTGATGCTTTTGTATGTAAAAATGTTTTTTGGTTTGGTGAGTTGGTTGGTCCTGATATCTGTGTCCGCATCGCATCACAAACCTGAAGTCCAATTTCTTTTTGGTTTGATGAGTTTGATGGTCCTGACACCTTTATCCGCATCGCATCACAAATCTGAAGTCCGGAGTACTCTGTATAACTTGTATACTTGTTCTATTTCCTACCAGTAAACTCAGATAATTGTTATGACTTTTGATTCCGGTGTTTTCAATTCCTTTCTTAATTTAATAGAGATCCAGCCTCATCCAACGAACGGCGCGTAGCAGAGGTGTTCTGCTCCAACAATCATTAAAGTGTTCTCAAAGCTGGTGAAGGTGCAGCTAGTTTGAATGACTTTGTATACTGCAGGGTAGCTTGTGAATTTACTCCAGGTGGAACTAAAGTCTGATTGAACACTTGATTATATTTCACATCATTCATCCAGATCTGTAAAGTAACTAAAGGTATTAAATAAATGTAGTGGAGGAAAAGTACATGATGTACCTCTGAATTGTAGTCGAGTAGTAGTACAAAGTAGCATAAAATGGAAATACTCAAGTTTCAGTGGGAGACATTGTGTGTCCAGTAGTACAACTTTATCAAAATAAAGAAATATTTGCACGTGTGAGTTTTGTATTCTACTAATTCCCTTTCTGTTTTTAACTGTTGACGTTTGAGGAGTTTGAAGAAATATAGGCCTACATACAGTACATTTTGTGATTTTGTGTTGTTTGTTGTATTACAATGAGTGGTTACAACATCACACCATAACAAGAAGGTGTATATTTGTTGTACCAGTACTGTCAGACGTCCAGTCTATCAGTAGGAATTTAAAGCTTTTTAGATATTTCTCTAGCAGGTTTCTCTTAAAGAGATGCCCCCACATGTTGTCAAAAGAAAATAACAAATCTATGTGTAAGGAATACCTTCACTAGATCATTATAGCCTGATTTAAGCCTTGGACATGTAATATTAGTTTAGTAGCACTGATGCAAAATATCTGTACTGTAAATCGTATTTAATTGTAGGTTATTTTTACAATTCTTTCAAAGGCTGTTAAATAGTCAACTTTAGCAAGCTTAAACAGATCACAAAAGAATACCATGAAAAATGCTTTAATTTAAAGGAAAATATCACAGATAGATTAACATTTAAAAAAAAGTTGAACATGTTAACTGAACTTATTTTTTGGATATAAACCATTTTCAGACAAAAGAGAAACCCCCATATATTGTCAAAAATAAAACGACTCAATCTGCAGCATGGACTTTATTATTTTAGAATAACATGAAGTGCAGCAGTATTATCAGCTACATATAAAAGCTGAGGTGGGAGAAGTACTCAGATCTTGTACTTGAGTAAAAGTAGAAGTACTCAGATCTTGTACTTGAGTAAAAGTAGAAGTACTCAGATCTTGTACTTGAGTAAAAGTAGAAGTACTCAGATCTTGTACTGGAGTAAAAGTAGAAGTACTCAGATCGTGTACTTGAGTAAAAGTAGAAGTACTCAGATCTTGTACTGTCAGACGTCCAGTCTATCAGTAGGAATTTAAAGCTTTTTAGATATTTCTCTAGCAGGTTTCTCTTAAAGAGAAGCCCCCACATGTTGTCAAAAGAAAATAACCACCATACAAATATGGATGAATTCAACCAGATTAAGATAACCTGATTTAAGCATAGTATACGTAATACTCATTTAGTAACACTGATTCAAAATATCTGTAAGTAGTGTTTTACTGTAGGTTATTTTTTTTATTCTTTCAAAGGCTGTTCAAAAGTCAACTTTAGCAAACTTAACAGATCACAATAGAATACCATGACAAAGCCTATCATTCAAAGGAATATATCACAGATAAATATTTTTGGATAGTTTAACATTTAAAAAAAAGTCCTATATCCTATATACATACAAATTATAAAAAACAATGTATCAAGGGGAATAACGTGATGTATTGACAAGATAGCGTTTTTAGGTTTAGACCCTGCTATTTTGTCCTGGAAGGAAAACATCTTAAAGGGGACCTATCATGCAAAATGCACTTTTTGATGTCTTTTATACATAAAGATGTGTCCCCGGTGTGTCAGAGAACTCATGCAGCGTCAGAAAATAAAACCCTCTCTCTTTTCCTCCGTACCCAAATCTCTAAAAACGGGGCTACAACGGAGCTGATCCAGATTTGCGTCCGATATGACGTAATATCTGAAATGTGGACCCACGGCACTATCAGAAACGTTGCTATCAGAAACAATGCCCGACTGTTTTGGACGTAATATGGTCGGTGTTTACATTAGCATCGCTAACACTCAGAGCTAACCTGTACTGGAGAGCATGTGTGTGAAGAAGCAGGAAATAAAAAGGAACTCACCTTGTGGTATAACCGGCAAGAGAGAAAGCCTTTGAGCTCCATACTGTTTCAGAAAGAATCCTTGATAATCCATGATATGGCGTTTCATCACGGCAGTATTTAGTTTAGACAGTAGCTGCCGGGTCCCGCATGAGCTCAGCCCCCTCCTTTTTTATTTTTTTTAAAGCTTTATACCCAAAATCACCACTTTTGAAACAGGAAGTGAAATAGAGGGATATGAGGCATGGCTAGAATGGGTGATCTGTTTGGTATTTTGAGCAAAACACTTCATAGACATGTTTTTTATATATTTTTATATATCTGAGACCTATGCTATTGCCTAAAAATAGCATGATAGGTGCACTTTAAATAATACATGTAGTAAAAAAATAAATAATATAAATACAAATATTTAAAATAAATGTAACAAGGGGGATAACGGGATTGACAAGAGAGTAATAGAGGGCACATGCAATGTGAAAAGGGGAATAACGTGATCAAATTCCACATTTATAATTAACATAATTTCAAATCCTCTGACAAGTTTCAACAGGATGGATACGTATGGAGATGAGTTGCTATGATATTTTCTTTCACTTCCTCTGACAACTCCCACTTTAATTTGGAAGCTTTGTGTAAGTAGCAAGGAGAAACAAAACAGAGCAATTCTCAGTGGGTGGTCATTGAAAATGTGTTCTGATATATGTTCTTCACAGAAAATGAGCCAAGGCCATTGAGTGTGGGTTTGAAAAAATTATTTATCATATTGTTTTTCTTTAGCTAAATAATGAAAACGGGTCCCACAGACCTGATCACCATACATTACATTACATTACATTACATTACATTGCATTTAGCTGACGCTTTTATCCAAAGCGACTTACAATAAGTGCATTCGACAAACAAGATACAAACTAGAAGAAACCAGAATCATATAAGTACATCAGGTTTCATAGAGCCAAAACATTTCAAGTGCTACTCAACTGGCTTTAGATAAGCCAGTCCTTTATATATAAGTGCTTTGTTAGCAATTCTTTGTTAGTGCTTCTATCGCTCGAAGCGGAGTCGAAAGAGATGAGTACATACAAGGGTTAATCCATCACCAGTCTTCCTCCATCTTTAGTTCCCACATCAGTTAATGTAATTGTTTTTAATGAGAAACTAAACTCTTCATGGCATTAAAATAACATTTATAGTCCCACTTTTGAAAAAGAAATCCCATAGAGGGCGCTGTTGTCATTTTAACACTGCAAGCAATGTAAACAACGAAGAAGAAGAGATCAGCTGACTCAAGCCAGTCAGTTAGCAACAACTGGGAAATAGCTGATTTTCAAAAGGGAAAATACATGATTGATACATGAAAAGGGATTATTATCAAGCAGATTTTAATATTTTGTTGCATAAATTAAATTGGGTGAAATATCATGAAGGGTTTGTACTGCAGAGCCGGACATGCTGAGCCAAAATTCGTTATCCAGGAAACGGTGAGTGTGTGTGTGTGTGTGTGTGTGTTTTGGGTCTGTCTGTGCAAGTGCATACTTTACTGAAGACTTGGTATTATAAGCCACATTTCACATTATTACACACTAAATCCTAAAAGCACAGGAAACTGACAGGCATGTGAGAAACTGTGGCTCCACCTGCAGACGCTGCTGGGCATTATTATTATTGACAACAACTTCAAAAACATAGTAAAAAATATCTTTCTTTATATTTGTTAACTATCTAATTTGCAGTCCACTGTTTAGCAGTCATGGTGCATTGTTTATTACATGGTTTCACTTTAGAGGAAGGAAATGCATTAATAATGTTTATCAAATGCATTAGGGCTGCACGATTTGGAAGAAAAATGCGATTATTTTGAGTGTTATTGCAGTTACCATATAGCAGGGATTGATCATAGTTGCATCACTGTTCTCAATATATTAAACATTATATTATATTATTATGGTGTTCTTTTTGTTAGAGGAATATCGGATCTGTTCCAAACAAATATTGTATGCCAGGATATATCTGCAGCTTCACAATACCTCATTGAAACATCTCTACTGTATATAGTATTTCACCTACTGTATATTCAGGCTTTAACAAGTAGCCTATATTGTGCTTCCTGCAATTTGAATATCGACCCAAACCATATTGCAATTGCGCAATAACATTGATTAAGTGCCCAAAAATGCATACTTACAGTAATGTCCATAATCTGGCAACCTGTCTTTATATACCTTTCTCTATATTACAAACTATTCTTAATATGTGTGTGTGTGTGTGTGTGTGTGTGTGTGTGTGTGTGTGTGTGTGTGTGTGTGTGTGTGTGTGTGTGTGTGTGTGTGTGTGTGTGTGTGTGTGTGTGTGTGTGTGTGTGTGGTGTGTGTGTGTGTGTGTGTGTGTGTGTGTGTGTGTGTGTGTGTGTGTGTGTGTGTGTGTGTGTGTGTGTGTGTGTGTGTGTGTGTGTGTGTGTGTGTGTGTGTGTCTCTGCGTGTCTGTGTGTGTCTGTCTCTCTCTGTGTGTGTGTGTGTGTGTGTGTGTCTCTGTGTGTCTGTGTGTGTCTGTCTCTCTCTCTCTGTGTGTGTGTGTGTGTGTGTGTGTGTGTGTGTGTGTGTGTGTGTGTGTGTGTGTGTGTGTGTGTGTGTGTGTGTGTGTGTGTGTGTGTGTGTGTGTGTGTGTGTGTGTGTGTGTGTGTGTGTGTGTGTGTGTGTGTGTGTGTGTGTGTGTGTGTGTGTGTGTATCTCTGGGTATCTCTGGGTATCTCTGGGTGACAGTTTGTGTTTATCTGTTTCTCTCCAGGTTCTTCCAGATGTTTTGGGCAGCCACCTGGTCAGAGTTCAGGTTAAAGCGTGTGGACTCAGCCCTCTGGACCTCAAGGTACTGAAGTCAAGGGTGATATCAAAATGAATGTGACCATGGCTGTACATTCTCAGAAAATAACCAAACGGTAGAACAGAAAACTGCAAATCAAGACACCATAGAAACTTTATTTTGCTGCTTATATTGAGGAGTCAAAACTTTCAAATAATCCCTGATGGTTTTCCTACAGCTGCTCAATGACGTGGGGATCCAGAGAGATTTAATTCCTGTCGGCAGAGAGGTGTCCGGCGTCGTCCTGCAAGGTAACACAAACACAGATTTCTCTGCTGATGGTGCACAAATAAACCATGTGATTAGTAGTAAGTGTGTTCACTAACCTTTGGTCAATTGTTTTTTCTGCAGTGGGAGCCAAGGTGTCTTTCTTCCAGCCGCAGGATGAAGTTGTAGGTAAGACAATTTTAATTTATACATTTTAGCAGCTGCATTCTGACACACTTTGTTTTTCTGCGTGTGATGTGTGAAGAGCATGACATGTAACATCTGATAACTAATAGTGTACAATAACAATACTGAGGGATTCTTTCATGTTTATTTTCACATTTTGGATTGTGGAAACAGTTTTTAAATCCAGAGATTGTGACCTCAAGCTCTTTTGTCCAAATCAATATGAAATATAATCTGCAGCATTGTGAGAGATTTTCACAAAAAGCAACCTCTTGGCTCGATTCAATATTGGTTTTCTTATGTTTAATATTATAATGTAGGTGTATGAGTATGAATGCTGTCCCAATTTGTCTTTAAATGTATTTAATGTGTCCATTTTTAACCAGTACAGGTAGTGGCATACATGAAAACACATAGTTACAGACAGAAAACTCATAAAGACATTAAAAACAAATCATAGCATTAAACAGCGGAACATTTTAAGGTTAGTTTGTACCAGTTAAATAAATAGAAGCACATGTACATGTAAAGAAATCTCACCCCAAGAGTTTATTTGTGATCTATTATATTTGTGTTTTATACTCAGTATTTCCCTCTCTTCTCAGGTATTCTGCCTCTGGACTCGCCCTGCTCTGGACTCTGTGAGCTCATTGACATAGATGAACACTATTTAGGTAAAGTCAACCAACATATCATCTATCACTTGCAAAGGGGACCTATCATTCAAAATGCACTTTTTGATGTCTTTTATACATCAACATGTGTCCCCGGTGTGTCAGGGAACTCACGCAGCGTCAGAAAATAAAACCCTCTCTCTTTTCCTCCGTACCCAAATCTCTAAAAACGGGGCTACAACGGAGCTGATTCAGATTTGCGTCCGATATGACGTAATATCTGAAATGTGGACCCACGGCCCTATCAGAAAGTTGCTATCAGAAACAATGCCCGACTGTTTTGGACGTAATATGGTCGGTGTTTACATTAGCATCGCTAACACTCAGAGCTAACCTGTACTGGAGAGCATGTGTGTGAAGAAGCAGGAAATAAAAAGGAACTCACCTTGTGGTATAACCGGCAAGAGAGAAAGCCTTTGAGCTCCATACTGTTTCAGAAATAATCCTTGATAATCCATGATATGGCGTTTCATCACGGCAGTATTTAGTTTAGACAGTAGCTGCCGGGTCCCGCATGAGCTCAGCACCCTACTTTTTTATTAGATTTGTATTAGACCCCAAATCAGCACTTTTGAAACAGGAAGTGAAATAGAGGGATATGAGGCATGGCTAGAATGGGTGATCTGTTTGGTATTTTGAGCAAAACACTTCATAGACATGTTTTTTATATTTCTTTATATATCTGAGACCTATGCTATTGCCTAAAAATAGCACGATAGGTGACCTTTAAATTAAAACAGCATTAAATACAGCCTTTAGCCTTTCATATCATATATAACACAACATGAAATTGCTGCACTGACACAAAACAAGACAGTAAACACACGTCTAAAATTAGCTCCTGTGTTAATGAGAGGTTGTTTTAGGAGTATATTTATTGCAATAGATGCTCAAAATAGTATTAAAACTGTTCTCTGTAATCATCTGCACCTAATTCTTTACAAATAATATACAGCTGACAGTTTAAATAAAGCAGAATTGGTAAATTGAAACATTTTCCTTGTTGTTTCTTGACTTAATTTCTACTTTTGCAGACATTTGTATGCTATGCTTATAGAAAACCATTTGATAAAGAACCATCAATCATAAAATAAAGAAACCTGTTAAACAGATTAACTAAATGTGTGTGTGTTTCTGTTTTTATTCTGCAGTTCAGAAGCCGGAGAAGTTGAGCCCGGTGTGTGTTGCCGGAGCGCTGCGTGACGGCCTCTCTGCTTACACTGCGCTACACACACACGCTCGCATGGCAGCCGGACACACACTCCTGGTCCTGGATGGAGGCAGCGTACGTAAAAAACACAACACATTTTTTTCACACACACTCTTTATGTAACCATGACTCTCTTTAGGATAGTTTTAACCCATCAAAGGACATTTCCACACACTTTTTCTACTTTAAAAGGTCACCTAATGTGCAAAATCCACTTGTTCATGTCCCTTCTACATCAACATGTGTCCCCTCTTCTTCATGTCTCTTCTACATCAACATGTGTCCCCTCTTCTTCATGTCTCTTCTTCATCAACATGTGTCCCCTCTTCTTCATGTCTCTTCTACATCAACATGTGTCCCCTCTTCTTCATGTCTCTTCTACATCAACATGTGTCCCCTCTTCTTCATGTCTCTTCTACATCAACATGTGTCCCCTCTTCTTCATGTCTCTTCTACATCAACATGTGTCCCCTCTCTTCATGTCTCTTCTACATCAACATGTGTCCCCTCTTCTTCATGTCTCTTCTTCATCAACATGTGTCCCCTCTTCTTCATGTCTCTTCTACATCAACATGTGTCCCCTCTTCTTCATGTCTCTTCTACATCAACATGTGTCCCCTCTTCTTCATGTCTCTTCTTCATCAACATGTGTCCCCTCTTCTTCATGTCTCTTCTACATCAACATGTGTCCCCTCTTCTTCATGTCTCTTCTACATCAAACATGTGTCCCCTCTTCTTCATGTCTCTCTTCATCAACATGTGTCCCCTCTTCTTCATGTCTCTTCTTCATCAACATGTGTCCCCTCTTCTTCATGTCTCTTCTTCATCAACATGTGTCCCCTCTTCTTCATGTCTCTTCTACATCAACATGTGTCCCCTCTTCTTCATGTCTCTTCTACATCAACATGTGTCCCCTCTTCTTCATGTCTCTTCTACATCAACATGTGTCCCCTCTTCTTCATGTCTCTTCTACATCAGCATGTGTCCCCTCTTCTTCATGTCTCTTCTACATCAACATGTGTCCCCTCTTCTTCATGTCTCTTCTACATCAACATGTGTCCCCTCTTCTTCATGTCTCTTCTACATCAACATGTGTCCCCTCTTCTTCATGTCTCTTCTACATCAACATGTGTCCCCTCTTCTTCATGTCTCTTCTACATCAACATGTGTCCCTCTCTTCTTCATGTCTCTTCTACATCAACATGTGTCCCCTCTTCTTCATGTCTCTTCTACATCAACATGTGTCCTCTCTTCTTCATGTCTCTTCTACAATCAACATGTGTCCCCTCTTCTTCATGTCTCTTCTACATCAACATGTGTCCCCTCTTCTTCATGTCTCTTCTACATCAACATGTGTCCCCTCTTCTTCATGTCTCTTCTACATCAACATGTGTCCCCTCTTCTTCATGTCTCTTCTACATCAACATGTGTCCCCTCTTCTTCATGTCTCTTCTACATCAACATGTGTCCCCTCTTCTTCATGTCTCTTCTACATCAACATGTGTCCCCTCTTCTTCATGTCTCTTCTACATCAACATGTGTCCCCTCTTCTTCATGTCTCTTCTACATCAACATGTGTCCCCTCTTCTTCATGTCTCTTCTACATCAACATGTGTCCCCTCTTCTTCATGTCTCTTCTTCATCAACATGTGTCCCCTCTTCTTCATGTCTCTTCTACATCAACATGTGTCCCCTCTTCTTCATGTCTCTTCTACATCAACATGTGTCCCCTCTTCTTCATGTCTCTTCTACATCAACATGTGTCCCCTCTTCTTCATGTCTCTTCTTCATCAACATGTGTCCCCTCTTCTTCATGTCTCTTCTACATCAACATGTGTCCCCTCTTCTTCATGTCTCTTCTTCATCAACATGTGTCCCCTCTTCTTCATGTCTCTTCTACATCAACATGTGTCCCCTCTTCTTCATGTCTCTTCTTCATCAACATGTGTCCCCTCTGTGGAAAGAGACTGAAAGTTTCAGGAACAAAGATTCTCTCTCTTTTTGATTCATTTATATAAAAACCTGTCTGAAAATGAGCTGATCAGATTTTGGCCACTTTATGATGTCATAACGATGTTTTGTCTTGTGTAACCATTAGCCAATCAGCAACCAAGGTAACCCCCCCCCCCCCCCCCTTATCACCTGAATCTCCTCCTAGAGCACCATTGTGTTCTTTCTAACCAAATCTCTCTCAGAGGGGCGTGGGGAGGGGCTCCTTATTTTCATCTAAAGTAACAGACAGAGAATCAGCACTTTGGAAACAGGGCTGAAACAGAGGGGATTATGGGTAATGCTGCAATGATCTGTTTGGTGTTTCAGCCAATCAGAGACAGGCTCTCTATATATCTGATGAAAAAGAGTATAATAGGAGACCTTTAAACTAAATAAAAACATATTAATGAGTGTATTTTCCCCATTTCCCGCTCCCTCCTCAGTCTTTTGGCCTCATGTGCATCCAGTTGGCGTGTTACCACGGAGTGAAGGTTTTTACAACGTCACACACACCAGAAGAACACACATTCCTGGAGCAGCTTCGACCCAGCGTGGGTACGTACAGGCTAACATCGTGATGACTGTAGTTCACTTACAAAACACTTCTTTAAATCCCTAACAGAAATGAAAATATGTAATCCCAATCACCCAATGAAAGTCCTTGAAACAAACTATCTTCAATGAATAATCCACAAATCAGACCGAAGATCATGTCAGGCTCTTTCACTCTTTTTATAAAAATCTTTCCATCTTTTTTCTGTCTTCTTCTGATCTTTTCCTCGCCGCTCCACATTTCCTCAGGTGTTCAGGACCCGTTAGTAGGTGAGATCTTTTCCTTCTGTCTTTCTTCCTGAACTACAGGCTGGTTTTCCGCGCTAATCTTCTCATTCCTGCACTAAAAGGCAGTTCAATAAGATCTTATTTTCTAAATCAATGATTCCTGTGCACTGTAAATCACCAGTTAGTTTATCAGATGTATTGTTTTTGTAATAATATTTTACAAATGTTTTCAAAGATATAACGATAATTTGAGGTATGTCACCCAAAGATAAGACCTTCTGATTTGAGTAAATGTTGTAAAAGGGAGAATGCATTTAAAAAACTGGCGCCACCATGTGGATAACATTGGAATTGCAACCACTGCAACTTAAAGTGGACCTATCATGCTATATTTGAATAATATAGTGTAGGACCATACCTATATAAGGCATATTTATACTTTTTTTTTTTCAAAATACCAAACAGATCATGCATTTTAGCCATGCCTCATTTCGCTCAATTTGACATTTTTTAGCTCTGTTTTTGCAAGGGCTGATTCAGTGAGAACAGCACCATCTACAGGCCTGGCATATGTACTACAGCGTCTCCAGCGCTTTCGAACGGCAATGGCCGTGGATGTCTCCTCCTGATTGGTGGAGTTGGCCCAATAGCCGTAGCGCCACCGTCCTGACGTCAGGACAGTGTTCAAATCTGGATCAGTTTTTATCAGATCCGTTGCAGCCCCTTTTTTAGAGATTTGGGTATGGAGGAAAATAGAGAGAGTTGTGTTTTCTGACACTTGGTGAGTTCCCTGGAACACCGGGGACACATATTTATGTATAAAAGACGTACAAAAGTGCATTTTGCATGATAGGTCCCCTTTAAACAAGCTTCCAATGAGATATGTTCTGCTGATAGGATCTGAATTGCACGATTGCAGGTTTTTGTTTTATTGCGTTATGATCCATATATTATTTATATAATGTTTCTGTGTCTTTGTGTGTAAAGCAAAGGTGATCCCAGTTTATAAAGACCAATCAGAGCTGCTCTCCGTGGTTATGGAGGAGACGGGAGGACTGGGAGTGGACATCGTCATCGACTCTGGAGGTAAACACATTATCCACACTGGAAGATTTTTGACATCCTCCTGGATCCATGATCTTTAAAACAAATGGTTTGATTGTCTGTGTTGTATTTTTTTTAATTCTTATTTAATATTTTCTTAACAATTTAAGTTTCTTTAATTCATGGTGTGTGTTTTAATACCACACATCCAAACACTGAGGACTTTTGACCTTGTTCATGTCATCATCTCTCCTTACTGTGTGTGTGTGTGTGTGCGTGTGTGTGTGTGTGTGTGTGTGTGTGTGTGTGTGTGTGTGTGTGTGTGTGTGTTGTGTGTGTGTGTGTGTGTGTGTGTGTGTGTGTGTGTGTGTGTGTGGTGTGTGTGTGTGTGTGTGTGTGTGGTGTGTGTGGTGTGTGTGTGTGTGTGTGTGTGTGTGTGTGCTGTGTGTGTGTGTGTGTGTGTGTGTGTGTGTGTGTGTGTGTGTGTGTGTGTGTGTGTGTGTGTGTGTGTGTGTGTGTGTGTGTGTGTGTGTGTGTGTGTGTGTGTGTGTGTGTGTGTGTGTGTGTACAGTGCGTCTTCAAGAGAAAGAGTCCGATGAGAGGAAGCTCCTCCCACACAAACATGACATCATCAGTGTGCTGGGAGTGGGGGGGCACTGGGTCACATCCCACAAAGAGCTGCAGGTGAGTCACTTTGTATATTAGTTATTAAACAGACCCTCACTACTCTACTCCTAATCAAGTGGTGCAGGAATGAGTCCTTTAACCCGGGAATGAGTCAGCGTTTTTCCACATACGAGTTTTTGGTTAGATGCCTTAAATATGGTGTGTGGTTCTTCCAAAGATATTTTAACGTTATCTTCTACCAAGCAGTATTTACATTGTTACTCTACCTATTTTTCTATAAAGTGAAGATTTGTTTACCTACTTTTGATACATGCTCTGATAGAATAACTGTATTCTGTTGAAAAAAAAACGCACTCGTGACTTTTTGAAGCATCTTAAAAATGCTAGTTTCTAAAACAAAGTGTCTAAAAAGACAACCGAGGTTTCAGGGGACATTACATGTTAATACGTCAAGCGTGCATGATAACATTAAAAGGAGGGATATCAACAACATATGCATACCTGCAGAACTGTACATTTCAGAGGAAAAAGTAAAGTTTTATTGCAATGATTTTGTATTTGGAAAGCTACAATTGGTCTTGAATTGTCTCGTGTCTCACTGCTCTGGGTATTCTCACAGCTGGACCCTCCAGATTGCCGACTGCTGCATTTGAAATCTGCCTCTCTGACGTTCCTCAACCACGAGGTGTGGACGGCTTCTTCCGCTCAGCAGGGAAGATACCTGCGTATCCTCTGAACACTGTGTGAAGTTAATAATATCATAATGTGCACATCATCAGGTTCATGAAGTCCCTCCTTAACAGACCTGTGTCAGATATCCTGAAGGACATCGTGGAGAAGATGTCCACTGGAGTACTCAGGTAAATGCATTACAAACTAACTTAAAGGGGACCTATCAAGCAAAATGCACTTTTGTACGTCTTTTATACATGAATATGTGTCCCCGGTGTTCCAGGGAACTCACCAAGTGTCAGAAAACACAACCCTCTCTATTTTCCTCCATACCCAAATCTCTAAAAAAGGGGCTGCAACGGATCTGATCAAAACTGATCCAGATTTGAACACTGTCCTGACGTCAGGACGGTGGCGCTACGGCTATTGGGCCAACTCCACCAATCAGGAGGAGACAGCCACGGCCATTGCCGTTCGAAAGCGCTGGAGACGCTGTAGTACATATGCCAGGCCAGTAGGTGGTGCTGTTCTCACAGAATCTGCCCTTGCTAAAACAGATCTAAAAAATGTCAAATTGAGCAAAATGAGGCATGGCTAAAATGCATGATCTGTTTGGTATTTTGGAAAAAAAAAAGTATAAATATGCCTTATATAGGTATGGTCCTACACTATATTATTCAAATATAGCATGATAGGTCCACTTTAAATTACCAGTGTGAGCTTTTAAGACAATGTTTAAATACAAGGAAATTCAAATTTATCATAAGAAAATATGAATTTCAGTTCAGTATTGTCGGGTAATGCTGCCACACAAAGCAGGTATCTTTCTCATCTCTTGTGACAGGTGTTAACATTAATTCTGCTGCTGTTTTGAGCATTAAAGTGGCCTGGAGAAGCTTAATATTTAATATATACTGAATATATGAATATTGAAAGTGCATGAAACTGTACTGGAAAAAAACCTATATTTTAGTTTGCTTAGAATTTTCTCTATTCAAGTTATTTTTGGTATCTATGGTTTTATTTTAGTGCCCAATAGAGCCTCCAAATTAGATTTTAAGACCTATCAAATCACAGGTTTTAGACCAGTAAGACCAAAACTGCTAGTCTATATAAAAGAAACAACAGTTTTTAAGATGCATTTACACTGTAGATTAAGATAAGCTTTATACCGTATGACACACATTTTTCAAAACTGTTGAAAAAGTGGCGGAGGGCGCTGAAATGCATGCTGGGATACAGAGCCATGCGTAGTAGCAGTAGCATAATGTGTGAAGATGAATGTAAAGATGGACACTGAAGGAAATGAGAAGGAGACTGAGATACATGACACACAAAAAGAACTGAGACGAGTTGTGTCTGTCGTTTGGAGGTTTTATGGATTCAAAAGATCTGACGTTGACCAAACTAACATTTACTGCAAATGTTGTTGAAACTAAAAGTGTTGTCCGAGGAGGAAACACAGGTAGTTCACTCCACCACCTTAACAGGAAGCACTTATTAGAGTACGTAGAATGAATGAAAATACGATCTGCTTCAACAGGCAACGCTGGTGAAATGTCTAAAGTCGAGTCAAGAGTCGCTTTTGTTTGAGGGACTTACTACGAAATGTATAACTGTGAATACATTTCCAATCATTGAAACATTTATAAATACTGTGATACCGTTATAATCTGGAATAATACCATGATATGAGTGTTTTCTCATACCGCCCAGACCTAGTTTAAGATAAAGGTCACCTATTATGCAAAATCCACTTCTTCATGTCTCTTCTACATCAACATATGTCATAACGATGTTTTGGCTTGTGTAACCATTAGCCAATCAGCATCCAAGGTAACCCCCCCCCCCCCCCCCCCCCCCCCCCCCCCCACCTTATCACCTGAATCTCCTCCTAGAGCACCATTGTGTTCTTTTTAACCACATATCTCTCAGAGGGGCGTGGGGAGTGGCTCCTTATTTTGCACTTTGGAAACAGGGCTGAAACAGAGGGGATTATGGGATGCTGCAATGATCTGTTTGGTGTTTCAGCCAATCAGAGACAGGCTCTGGATATATCTGAGACCTGTAATATATTGATGAAAAACAGTATAATAGGAGACTTTTAAATCTAAAGGTGTTTGTCTCTGCAGACCTCAGCCTGAGGAGGCCGTCCCTCTCTATGAAGCCACGGTTACCATGGAGACCGTCCAGCGGCACCAGAAGAAAAAGGCCGTGGTTCAACTCTGACCAAATTCATGTCAAATGTACATGCGCTAAAACTCACAGGAATCACTTCACATCTGCAGTTTCATCAGCTGTTTGTCATGTAATGTACAACTTTCATACTAAATAAACCAACGACAAGTCTCACAATACTGATTTTAAAAGTGTTTTTATCATTTCATAATGATCTTATTGTGTTTTCTAAGAGGAAATAGTCCGTTCCTCTGCGTAAAAACAGCTGGAAGTGCAGCCACAGCAACGTAACTTAAAAAACGGCAGATTTGATCGAGGTTTTCTGTAAATATCCAAGTCTTCTCATAGTTTATTTTCCATTAACCAGTATGTAAACACTGCAGAGCCCATACTGTGTTCCCGTTAGTGTTTACTTCCTGTCTGTCTGTCTTCTTCTGGTGATTTCTCTGACGTCCAGCTATCTGTCTTTTAACCTCTCTTCTTCTCTTCTTTACTGGGGACAGTTTAGCCATCATGAATTCATAGTTTCGTGCTCTCCACAGATATAAAAATGAATATTAAAAAAGTATATTCCATGCTTCTGATGGAGGAAACTCATCTAGTTGTCCACAATTGACCGGACTTCTTTCTGCGGATTGATATGGCCGCACACAGTCCCTTGGCTTGATCCTTTTTAAAACAAATAATTTAACTTAACTCTTTGTCTTTGGCTGTTCTCTAACTCAGTAGATTGTGGTGATCAGCACAAACTGCTGAAATAAAACAGCATCTCCACTTCAGCCAATCACAGAGCTTCTAGTAGTGACTGGCAGAAATAAGCACCAATCAGCTCACAGCGTCTTCGTCGTCATTAGCATCATCTGGTTGCCGTGACAACAGTTCGTCTGGTGGTTGTTGTTCCGCTGAGCATTCCATTGTTTTAAGACAATTTCCCAGGATGCACCTCTCCTCCTGTCGCAGCGCCTCGACCACATGAAGCTGCTCCGTGAGAGACAGACACACACACTGCAGGAGGAGGGAGATCTACACGCACGCACGCACACACACACACACACACACACACACACACACACACACACACACACACACACACACACACACACACACACACAGACAGACAGATTATTAGCTAATACAACATATAAATAAACATTGATATATAATTATAGATTGTAATATACAGGTATTCAAATTAGCTCCACATTAAGCAGCTGTGATGTACATATTAAAGCACCAATAATCAGTGTTTTAAGTTTCATATTGTTGTGCTTTCACCTGAGTAAGATGACTGCAGGACTTAAGAGACGTAACAGAGTGTTTGTACTATTTAGTATTTCGGCTTTTACTCAAGAAAAATATCTTAAGTGTGTTTGTGCAGACACACACACCTTCTCCAGAGATGTGTGTGTGTACCTTCTCCAGAGCGGTGTGTGTGTATGTCTGTGTGTGTGTGTACCTTCTCCAGAGCGGTGTGTGTGTATGTCTGTGTGTGTGAGTGTACCTTCTCCAGAGCGGTGTGTGTGTATGTCTGTGTGTGTGTGTACCTTCTCCAGAGCGGTGTGTGTGTATGTCTGTGTGTGTGTGTGTACCTTCTCCAGAGCGGTGTGTGTGTATGTCTCTGTGTGTGTGTGTGTGTACACCTTCTCCAGAGCTGTGTGTGTGTGTGTGTGTACCTTCTCCAGAGGTGTGTGTGTGTGTGTCTGTGTGTGTGTGTGTACCTTCTCTAGAGCTGTGTGTGTGTGTGTGTGTGTGTGTGTGTGTGTACCTTCTCCAGAGCGGTGTGTGTGTATGTCTGTGTGTGTGTGTACCTTCTCCAGAGCTGTGTGTGTGTGTGTGTGTGTGTGTACCTTCTCCAGAGCGGTGTGTGTGTATGTCTGTGTGTGTGTGTGTACCTTCTCCAGAGCTGTGTGTGTGTGTACCTTCTCCAGAGCTGTGTGTGTGTGTACCTTCTCCAGAGCTGTGTGTGTGTGTGTGTGTGCGTGTGTGTGTGTGTGTGTGTGTGTGTGTGTGTGTGTGTGTGTGTGTGTGTGTGTGTGTGTGTGTGTGTGTGTGTGTGTGTGTGTGTGTGTGTGTGTGTGTGTGTGTGTGTGTGTGTGTGTGTGTGTGTGTGTGTGTGTGTGTGTGTGTGTGTGTGTGTGTGTGTGTGTGTGTGTGTGTACCTTCTCCAGAGCAGTGTGTGTGTCCCGCAGTATCCTCTCACAGAGAGTCTTCACGGTCCTGACGCTCCTCTCCTCTCTCTCCTCACACACCCGCTGGCCGAGCAACACCGCCTTCCACTGGGGACTGGAAATAAAAAACACACATCGTATGAATAAATTATACATTAACACTTTCTATTCTGATCTATCCAAACAATACAACACGTTTTTAATGGTCTTACTACAGAGTTTGAGGCAGAGCCATCAGTCTGAGAGCCGTCAGCAGCCTCCAGCTCGGCCCCTCACTGGACACTGTGAGGTTACTGAGAGGAAGAGGAAGAGGAAGAGGAAGAGGAGAAACTTTAGACTTAACATTGTAATACATTTGTGTGTGCAATGCAGTGGGATATGTAGGACGGAAAAAGGCATACATTTAAATGATTAAATGGATGAATAAATACAGGAATAACTGAATAAATTCGGAAATAAATACACAAAAATACAGGAATAAGTGAAATGCCTCGTAAACATTATACTGTAACGAAACTATTTCCTAATTTGGGATCAATAAAGAATGTATTCTCTATTCTATTCATTATAATAATAATCGTATCTAGTAGTACGATAACAGCAGCTTACATTAAAACAATGTGATCAACATAAAATCAACAATGACAAATACAATTTTTTACTTAATGAAATTATTTTCTCTGAGAAACTTCATCTTCTGATCCAAACTCCTGTCAGCTTTGAAAACATCACAGAGGAGATCTGAGGAAACACAGAGACACACAGATATATATATATACTGTCACTTTTTCTAAGTATCTTGAACTATAACCAATGGTGCACATAACTTTCTTAGTGAGTTACTCAAATGAGTACCAGGAGACAATGTTTGGTACTCAGGGCTGCCCACACAAGGTTATGTGTTCAGCAGCCCCCGTCTGTGCGCACGGCGACCGGCTTCACAAGTCCGCCGGTACGCAAATGTGCTTAGTGAGACAAGTGACGGTACGCATTTCAGATGTTTGCCACGCATGCATACCTGCGTACCAGTTATGTGCATCCCTGACTATAACAACAAAAGCGTATTACGTTGAAAAATACGTTTTATACAGTTTTTCTTACTATACAACAATTTTAAATATTTGTTTACATTTGTGATGCATTCAAGGAAACATGGAGTTGCTTCAGGGTCAAAGATTAGGTGTATTTTTTAATTTGTTCTCCTATATTTCACCTGTATCCACGTACACCACGCTGTTGGGGTTACAGGAAGCCACGAAGCCGTACTCCATCATCAGCCGCTGAGAATCATGGGAGTCGTAGTTTATGAAGGCCTGTTCGTACCGAAGCGTCCCCGAAACACTCCTGATTTCATAACACCGCGACACCTCATTGAAACTGGCTTTTACCTGAAAAGGAAGGACAAACATACAATATATATATTTATAATGACATTTGTGGAACATTTTATTGGCTTTGTAAATGTCCAATCAGGTAAAACTCAATAATGTGGAAAAACAACTCCAATATTGACATTTATTTAACTTTTTCCCAAGGTGCAAAAACATGGATATCGTGCAACAAGGTGAAATTAATCGTACTATTATAATGGTATTGTTATATGTGCTGGTATTAATAGTTTATAGATATGTTTTTTGATGTGTTTAATTATATTTTAGTGTGATAGAGTCTTTGTTTAATCGTAATGTGTGTACCTTAAATAAAGACATGATACACTCCACACTGAGTGCCTTTACACACAGCTTATAATAGTGCTTCCTGTAGTTTACCTGCACGTCAGGACGATGGTTGAGCAGGTCCAGAAACGGAGCTAAAGCGTAAACATCCTGTCCGAACAGGAAGTCGCTGGACGGGTGGGACATGAAGACGGAGCGGGTGTTCACACTGCACCACGCCCACCTGGAGGACGAGGGAAACATCTTGATATCCTTTATAACAGAAAAACAGTCCAGCTAATTTAAAATGTTTATGCCATAAGAATGTTCCTAAAGCTTAAAGGTCACCTATCATGCTATTTTTAGGCAATAGCATAGGTCGCAGATATATACAAATATATAAAAAACATGTCTATGAAGTGTTTTGCTCAAAATACCAAACAGATCACCCATTCTAGCCATGCCTCATATCCCTCTATTTCACTTCCTGTTTCCAAAGTGCTGATTTGGTGTATAAAGCTTTAAAAAAGAAAAAAGGAGGGGTCTGAGCTCATGCGGGACCCGGCAGCTACTGTCTAAACTAAATGCTGCCGTGATGAAACGCCATATCATGGATTATCAAGGATTATTTCTGAAACAGTATGGAGCTCAAAGGCTTTCTCTCTTGCCGGTTATACCACAAGGTGAGTTCCTTTTTATTTCCTGCTTCTTCACACACATGCTCTCCAGTACAGGTTAGCTCTGAGTGTTAGCGATGCTAATGTAAACACCGACCATATTACGTCCAAAACAGTCGGGCATTGTTTCTGATAGCAACGTTTCTGATAGGGCCGTGGGTCCACATTTCAGATATTACGTCATATCGGACGCAAATCTGGATCAGCTCCGTTGTAGCCCCGTTTTTAGAGATTTGGGTACGGAGGAAAAGAGAGAGGGTTTTATTTTCTGACGCTGCGTGAGTTCCCCGACACACCGGGGACACATGTTTATGTATAAAAGACAGCAAAAAGTGCATTTTGCATAAGTCCCCTTTAATACAATTTTAACCCATTTAAAAGCATTTGAAAGATTAAATAAGAATTGTTGAGGCCTTATTATTATCATGTAAAGCCGATTGAGAGTATTAAAGGATCCGGTTGAACCCGGCATAAACTAATGTCCATCAGATGATTCACCATTAAAATGTAACACGTAACATGTATATACCTTAATAAAGGAAGTACCTTTGGAAATATTAAACTGAAACTTTTGAACACCTGTCAAGATTATAACTAGACGTACATTAACTTGTACATGACACTACACCACGCCCACCTGGAGGACGAGGAAACATCTCACTAACAGAAAAACAATCCATTTAATTTTCGTCTGGAGATACTTTTACTGCCATAACAAGGTTCCTACAGTTTAAGGCAACATTTATAATTAATATGGAAGTTTTAATTCCACCCGTAATCAAAATCCAGCTTTAAAATAACCAACATTTAGGAATAAATAACCCAAAACATTAGAATTGTTGTTTTAGTGAGCAATTTTCTCGAGAGTTTGAATTCCAATGTCAGAAAAAAACCCATGTCTTCACAGTTTTAGAAGATTTGAAAGTTTAAATTACACTTTTTAAAAGCTTTTTCAGACTTTTTAAGGATCGGCTGGGGAAACCCTGCGTACAATATTGCAGTGAATTGTTTATTGGGTGAATTTACCATTTAAAAAGAAACACATACTGTATATATACCTAAATCAAGTGCCTAAGTTAAAAACTTTGAGCACCTGTCAAGATTATGGAAAGACTTACATTTAAATGTTACGTGTGTGTGTGTGTGTGTGTGTGTGTGTGTGTGTGTGTGTGTGTGTGTGTGTGTGTGTGTGTGTGTGTGTGTGTGTGTGTACCTTAATGCTTCATATGTCAGCACCTCCTCCACAGGCTGACTCAGGATTGGCTGCAGGGATCTGGATCAATAATTATATTACAATACACACACTTTTATCCAAAGCAACCTACAATAAATGCAACCAACCATGAACACAACAACTCAGTACCTCAAGAATCCCTTTCTACCTTTGCCTGAACATTTAGTAACTTTGTAAATGTATTTTAACTAGTGCCTTCTATTTTAGTAATCTTCTCTTATTTAAACTGCAGAGAGAGAAACCTACACATCTCGTGTAATTACAATAAAGATCTTGTGAGTACTCATCTTATACAAACAAGTCTCAACATCTTCTTTTCTTAAACTAAAGTTATGCAACTGTTAAAATAACCTCTGCCCTGCTAATCCTCATCTAACGACACAGTGTTTTGAACAACCTGTGTGACTGGTTTCAGAGAGAGAGACCCACCTGAACAGGCTCACGTTAGAGGAGTGGATTCCTCTCACCTCCTCCCTCTGATCCAGAGCTTTTCTCTGCACGCTGGTTGGCAGAACGGCCATGACATCATCGCTGAAGTAGGCGGGACATGTGTAGGTTTTAGGCAGCACGTCGATGTAGGGGAACCAATCAGACGCCTCGCCTCGGTGCCGCTCACACACCAGGAACACACAGAGCGCCAGAAGAGGGGAGATACGAGGCCTCCAGCTGAGGAGAGAAACATAAGGATCGTTTGGGTTATGCATGTTTGTTTTTTTCAATTCTTTATTTAGAAGACAGTTGAGGACATGTCACCAGTTGCAATGAAATATACTTGCAGTTACAGGGAGTGGTAAACCTTTGCAATATAACAACAGTATACATTGATGTGCATCTTATACAATGTTCATGAACTTAATACAATAACAGAAGGGATGTTTCGTAACAGAGGCATAATAGGTTATGCATGTTTTTAAATGTACTCTATGTACACATATACGTTGCTTACTACATATGTCCTACACCTTTTTACACATAGAAGCTAATTTCAAGCATTTTAGGTGCATTTTTTCAGCTTTTCAACACCTTACAGGTGGTGTCATTCACATATTTATACACATTTAAGCATTTTTCTTTCATTTATCTCAAAAGCTAAGTATTTAGTCCTGGTAGTGATTCATAAACAATGTAATACAATATGAATTTAAACCAATTTCAAACAATAAACACAAAATCCAAGCACTTTTCAAACCTTAAAAACATTTTTTTCACTAAGCTAGTGTTCTTAAGGATTTGAAGTAACCCACTTACTCTGTTTTACATTCCTCTTTAGGTATGGTACATTCAGTATGAAATAAAAACACAAAAGCTTCACTTTTAAAAACGATATAGTTGAATCCAAACCTCTATAAGGGTTAAGGTTTACGGTTTGTCATTTCATCCACTGTTGGACATATTCTGATGTTTATAAAGTTTTAAATATGTGTTGATTACTGTTGGGAAAACACTGAATGTCCTCTTCCAATATCAGAGTAACACATGATAGCAAAGGTATCCCAACTGTAGCTGTGAACATGACAGGATGTATGATTACCTAGAAGAGCATCAGGACTGTTTGAGGCATATGATAGCTATGTGATTAACATGATGATTCAGCCTCTATGGAGATAGACATATGACAAGCATGATCATTTCTGACGTGGAGCTAATCTGAAGTAAACATTGAATACTGCTTTCTATTCCTCCATCTTGTGACTGTGTAACTCCCTCTCTTGGATATCAGCATGTGAAGGACACTGTTCAGGAACTAGTTGATGCTCTGTATGTGATGACTACTTCCATTCTGGAGAGGATCACAAATACATGGATCCTGAGATTGAAGCTCAAGCCGGGGAACAGTGATTTTTAAAAATGTTGGATTTTGAGAAAAAGTCATAATTTTTGAGAATAAAATCAGGATTTTGAGAAAAAAGTCAGAATTCTTAGATTCTTTGAAAAAAGTCAGAATTCTTGGATTTTGAGAGAAAAAATCAGGATTTTGAGAGAAAAAATCAGGATTTTGAGAAAAAAGGCAATTTTGAGGAGAAAAAGTCATATTTTTTTGTAAAAGTCAGAATTTTGAGTAAAAGTCAGAATTTTGAGGAAAAGTCAGAATTTTGAGGAAAAAGTCAGAATTTTGAGAAAAAGTCAACATTTTTAGAAAAAGTCAGAATTTTCAGAAAAAGTCAGAATTTTCAGATTTAGAGAAAAACTCAGTATTGTACATGACAGGATGTATGATAACCTACAAGAACCAGTAATCCTGCATCTTGTGACTGTGTAACTCCCTCTCTTGGATATCAGCATGTGAAGGACACTGTTCAGGAACTAGTTGATGCTCTGTATGTGATGACTACTTCCATTCTGGAGAGGATCACAAATACATGGATCCTGAGATTGAAGCTCAGTGAGATTTTTCTAACAATTACCTCTTTATATAGGGACCCAGGTAGCTGTTCAGAACAGTTGAAGTTGTGAGGAGACACGTCTCCGGCAGAGAGATGATCAGCTCTCCAGACTGACGGAAAAACAGACAATATGATTGTTTTTAATCATCTGAGTTTTGTTTTTAAGTTATTAACGCAGAAGCATAAATCTTTGCACACACGAAGAATATATGTTGATGACGCCAGCATCCTTGTTAAAGCAGAACAATTATTAATGCTGTGATTGTTTTCTTGGTTTTCTTTAGCAGACATTGAAGTATTAGTATTACCTTAGAAACGGTATTATTGCTGTGTTTATTTGATCAGATGCAGTTTTACCTTGATGGTCTTGAGAGCTTGAAGTCCTCTGCCTGTGTCTGAAATTAGAAAAGCAACAAACACATAATAAAGAGTTTAATTTAAGGCAGCAATCAGATTATTATACACAGGTCGAATGCAGTGAAAGGTTTATCTGAACTTTTCCACATGGCAGCTAATATATGCTCTTAAAGGTGGGGTAGGTAAGTTTGAGAAACCGGCTTGAGATCGCTAGAATTTGAAAATACACAACCGGAGAAAATCTGCCACTTCCTTACAGAGCCCCTCCTCCAACACACACGAACACGCACATGACCAATGAGGGCACGAGATAAGTTTGTGCACAGATGGAAGGCTGACAGGCAGGTAGGCCATCCAGTTATTTTAGCCGGGCCGGCTCAGATGATTGGTCGTGCTTTTTACAGTATTACAGCTTCCACAGATGACATTTATTTATGTATTTATTGTCAAAGCACTTCAGATATTCATTGCTATCGGGATGTTAAGAGCATTCCATGGAATATAACAAAAAGTGTATCTCGAGCCGGTTTCTCAAACTTACCTACCCCACCTTTAAGGAGTGGAATCTGGAGAAGCGGATTGGCTGATTAATCTGTTAATCATTTTGGTGTTAAGACTATTTCTTCTCACATTTAAAGAAACTGCTTTTTTCTAAGCGATGCTATGCAAACTTAACATCCTGCAGAGTTCAGTGTTTCCCATACATTGATTCATTTGTGGCACGCTACATTTAAATATCACATTCAAAAAATAATGTTGGTGGTCTAATGGATAGTGAGGTGGGATGATGATCGGAAGGTCATGAGTTCAAATCCCACCTGGAACACCACCACTAATGCGCCCTTGAGTAAGGCACTCAGTCCTTAGTTACTCCAGGGAGAATGTCCCTGTAATTGGTCATTGTAAGTCGCTTTGGAATAAGGAGTCTGCTACATTTTTGGGAGAATAAACCTCACAGATCCTCAACTCCGGTGTGTCTCACTCATTAACAACGCAGCACAGAGCAACAAGAACGTGGTCTGCTACAGTAGCCATGAACTTGAATGTATTTTGTTATTTGAGGGGGGGGTGGATGCGTGTGCCACCCGAATAGGTTGAGGGGTCTTTGGCTTTTCTTGTGTCCCCACAAATAGAATAAAATTCTGTGGGAAACACTGGAGTTCATCTCTTAATATAGAGTTGTGCAGACTAGGGCTGTGCGATTATGGCAAAAATCATAATCACGATTATTTGGGTCAATAATTGATATCACGATTATTAAATACGATTATTCATTGACTTTGAAAAAATCAATTTATTGAACTTTAAAACAAATACAAATAATAATTTGAACAGTATCTTTTTAACTGTTGATTACCCTGAACGTATAATTCAACTGAAAAACCAATACAAAAATAAATAAAATTAATGATACATTTAAATAAATAATATCAAAATAATAAATACCAATAAACAAGATCAACAAATATTTCGGAGCGCACTTCCACAAGCTACTAAACATATGTAAATATGATAAATACAAATAAATTAGACCAAAATTAATTAGATCAAATATGTTGCAGTGCACTGTCACAACCTAGCAAAGCAAAATAATTGTTTTTTCCGATTATGTTGTTTTCGTAATTGTGGCAGGCCAAAATCGTAATTGCGATTAAAATACGATTAATTGCACAGCCCTAGTGCAGACCCTGGTGCAGATGGTGCAAAAAGACACCAAGCAATACCAGCTTCATACTGTGTGTTCAAGGTTCAAGGTTCAAGGTTCTTTATTGTCAAACTAACATAGCTAGCTTGAAAATCATAGGTCACAGGCTTCTCCAACAATGCAACACAATAATACAGATAAGCAGACAATATTAAAACAATATTAAAGTATATTATATTAAAAGTAATACAAAAAAGAAAAATAGTTTTGAAAAAAAAAGTGGAATAGTGCAATACGAGTCTATATACAAGTTATTGTAATGTTATATTAGATAATAGATAAATAATGTGTGTGAACAATCACTCATATCACAGCGAGTCGTACCGGTGAAGAGAGCCGGCTGCAGCAGCGTTGATGTGAATCCTCTCTGGTGGAGAAACTTCTTCAGCCTCACGTACTGCGGCTGGTGGCTCAGAGAGACTGGAGAGAGAGGAACAGAGAGGAACAGATGGTGATGGGAGAGAACAGAAGAGAGACTTGTCCGTGATGAAACAGGAAACATAAGAAAGCAAAGCATTATCTTGGTTCATACCTGACTGGGTGATGCTCTCTTGTTTCTTCCTCCTCTTCCTCGCAGCTCGTCCAGATCGATGGCCTGGCATCATGATCCAACCTGGACAACCTTTGGGTCGACAAACACACAGATAAACGCAATAAACACACATTAATATGGTCAAAAGTCTCTCTCTCTCTTTTAAATATGCTAAATGTGAGCTCCAATTGTGAAACACAGTATTCACAACCTCTCTCCAATAGTTTTCTGAGGTTGTGGAGCTACAATTCATTCCCCCACTTGATGAGTAGATAGAAAACTAATCAACACTACAGTCACTCAGAGCTGGAGGAAGTATTCAGATCCCTTACTTAAGTAAAAATACTATTACCATACTATTTACCAATACAATACCAACAGCTCTCTTACCAGTAAAAGTCCTGGCTGCATGTACTATGCTATTTAAGTAAAAGTAAGTAAGTGTAATCTGCTAAATGTACTCAAAAGTATTTAATGTAAGAGTACTCAATGCATCTAAATGTACGAAGGCAAATTAGCTTAATCTCGGTTAATTGTTCAGCTGTTACTGTATATAAACTGTTGAATATAATAATGTCTAAAACAAAACATCAGCTTAGTTAAAGTCTGTGTTTTCATGCAGAAATCTTAATTAATAGACTAGTAGTAACTAAAGCTGTAAGACAAATGTACAGTAACAAGTACAATACTTCCCTTTGCATTGTAGTAGGGTAGATGTATTTAAGGGCATGAACAGAAAGTACTCAAGTAAAGTACAAGAACTTCAAATTTGGAGTAAAGTACAATACAGTACATGTACTTATTTACTGCCCATCACTGCTATCACTGAAGCAAAGGTCCCCTCGTGTAACGTATTAACTTATACATCATATGAACAACTAATGCCTTATAATAAGTACACCTTGTTAAAAACTAACAAAATCTAACACAAAATACCTGAAATAAATAATTTACCATTGAGAAGGTTATTAAAATCGCGTTCGGTTGCAAATACACCATATACAAAAACACATCCTCTTTATCAAATGCATTAAAACAAAACATTAAATACATAAACAGTCAATACAATACCTATATAATTGTCTCATCTGCACTAAATCTCGATCCTGCACGGCGGCTGCTGTTAGACCACGTGGTTCACTTGTTTTTCCGCGTATGCGCACTGACACTGCGCAGTAGAGCTCCAGTTTCCTCCCATTTTCTCATGTGTTTCAGCTTCACTGCGCAGATCTTCTTCACTTTCTCTGCAGCTTCCACACCTCAGGTCCTCTCTACCAAAAACTACAGGTAAGAATCCTCCCTTTCACCTGCTATTAAAACAGTTAGCACATTGCTAACACTCAGAAAAGTGTATTTTAATGAATGCATTTGTCTGAAAATGGGCTGCTTTACTATGCTAACTGAAATAAGCGAGTCAGTGTTATGTAACGCAGAAAAAAGGATCTGAAACCAGGCAAAAGGTCCTCTCTGAAAAGCTGCAATTAACCCTTCATATTATTATGATTAATGTCTTGACGCGAGTTATATAAGGTTAGTTTTAGTTGCACAACGCATTAATGCTTTTAAAACCAGTTTGCATGACATAAGTGTGTGTTAAGGTCATATAGACTGCTGGCAGGACTGTGCACTTTTATTGATTGACTTTGGATTTGATAGTCATTTCTAAGCTGAAACCACTGGCCTTAATGCCTGTAAGCAGTGGCGGCCGGTGGTCTTTTTTTTTGGTGGGGCTCTTGACGTACCGTAAGTGACCTACCCGGGGGGTCCGGGGGGTTTTCCCCCGGAAACTTTTTTCGAGAAATGACCCCTTAAATGATGACTTCTGGTGATGTTAGAGGGGGGGGGGGAAAGGAGAAATCGAGGCTTAAAAATATGAGAAGACTGATCAATACCTCCATAATCTTCAGTGTGGAAAATATTATTTATCAACCTGAACATCTACTACTTTACCAGGAATTTGTGTTCTCAGAACTGGTCTGTTTTTTTCTTTCTTAAAACTGTTCATGTTTTATGAACCAACACCTTCACCAAGTAGCTTTACAGTGAACTGCATGTGAGATATAAAATTAATAGCATCTTTTCAGTAGCATTAATTATAAATATTTAAGTGGTTCAATACAAGTCACTACAGCATTTCAAACTGAACTGTGAATAAATGCAATTTAAAAAAAAATAACCACAGCACAAAATGTCATAAATTGTGTTTTTTCTTTGTTTCTCTGAGGATTATTTACAAACAGGCTTATTTACATATAGCAATAACTCAGAAATGAAAAAGCTACATCGTCTAACACGAACAACCACTTAGCATAATGATAATATATGTGTTATGTACAATGTAACTGGCAAGGCTAGAGCAAGAAAGAACATAAAGTTTGCAAAAGGTTTAAATAACTTCAAGTATCTGTCTTCAGATTACGTGGAGGTTTTAGTCCGATGGGAAGCAGATTTTAAGCGACACCGAAGATAAACCAAAAATGTGGTGGAGCTGCAAACCGTGTAGTGTTGCTGGGACAGAACAGGAGCTATAACCGTTGGAAAATACATCACAGACAATGCAACAAACGTGGAGACAGAACAATCACTTCTGTGATAAATGCCCACTTATTAATAAACTTCTAACAACCATGGGAAACCTCCTCTCTACATATAAAGTGATATCCAAGCATGGGAAACAAAAGACAGCATTTACCTGTTTGCATCCAGCTAGCCAAGCCTTTCTTGTGTACCAGCTACTTGTGAAGCCTCGTGTATAAATGTTGTCTTTTTCACGAGATTGCTGCGATATATTCAAATCGGGTTGGTCCGGTGCAAGGTCTTTAAGCAACAATTTATCTGCCAAACTTCTCCTTTCGAAAGGATTGGAGATTAGCTCTTGAACAGAATTAGCCGGGGACCGAGGTCCGGAGACTCCACCTGCACACGAAGCCATCCTCATCAACTACTGCGTCAACCGGATACGAGTCACTGTCCAAACTACTCACAGACTGCACTGGGCGCTGACATTGGCGCCCGGTGACCATCATCTTTGACGACGCTGATTGGCTGAAATTATATTTTCGCGGCATAGTTTACACGTTACAGATAGCAACAGTCAGCTGCTGGTGGCTGCTGCTGCACTGGTTGAAGGCTCCTCTCTTAGCGCCCAGACGAGAGAAGGTGCATGGGCAAGGCCAGGCAGGAAACATGTGACTTATCAGTAACTTTAGACATCGTAACACAATTTTAAACGAGATTTTATTGTAGATTATACATTTTACTGATACCAATTATATAATATTTACCTTGTTCATTAAAAATAAAAATAAAAACATATATATTTTTTTAAACATATTTTTTTTTTTTAATTTTAATTTTAATTATTATTATTATTTTTTTTTTTCAATATGGGAAGAGGTGGGGCGGCGCCCCTAGCGCCCCTATGGACCGGCCGCCACTGCCTGTAAGGTGTCGAAATACAGTA